CGTGGCCTCTTGCTCGCTAGTGCTATAGCAGCCCCCAAACTACCTCCGAACTCTCCTATTGCTGTTCACCGGACCTTATGATAACTCAGCTATACAGCTGATGCCTGCTGAACTGTTCCTTTATATGGTACCGCATCCTGTTAATGTTTAGCCTCAGCCCAAACTTTGTCGCCATTACCAGCTGTTGTCTTAGCTCTCGAATAACACCTGTGATTGCTTTATGCCTCTCTCCCATTTCAATATGCCTTGCTTATTGCTGTTTCGGTTATTTCTTATTTTACTATTTCACTGTAGCTCCCCCAGGACAGCTCAACTTGCCATAGATAGCTTCTTTGTCCCACCCCCCATACACGCGGAGACCGACTCAATCGGTGCCTCCAGTGATGCTATCTCTTTCATCGTTACCCAACGCTTAGGTTTACCTCCACTGTACTCATATCCTTCCATATCCTTTTCTGTACATAATGCCCTGAATCTATTCTACAACGCCCAGAAACCTGCCCCTTTTTTTCCTCTGTACCCAATGCACTAGAAGACTAGTACTTAAAGCCTTTAGCCGTATCCTTATTCTACTCCTCCTCTGTTCCTCTGGTGATGTAGAGGTTAACCCAGGCCCTGTAGCCCCCAGTATCACTCCTACTCCCCAGGCGTTATCATTTGTTGACTTCTGTAACCGTAAAAGCATTGGTTTCTTGCACGTTAACATCCGAAGCCTCCTCCCTAAATTTGAGTTATTCACTGCATTAGCATACTCCGCCAACCCTGATGTCCTAGCAGTGTCTGAATCCTGGCTTATGAAGGCCACCAAAAATTCAGAAATATCCATCCCCAACTACAACATTTTCCGTCTCGATAGAACTGCCAAAGGGGGTGGGGTTGCAATCTACTGTAGAGATAGCCTGCAGAGCTCTATCATACTATCCTGGTCTGTGCCCAAACAGTTTGAGCTTCTACTTCTAAAAATCCACCTTTCCAGAAATAAGTCTCTCACTGTTGCCGCTTGCTACAGACCCCCCTCAGCCCCGAGATGTGCCCTGGACACCATATGTGAACTGATTGCCCCCATCTATCCTCAGAGTTTGTACTGCTTGGAGACCTAAACTGGGATATGCTTAACACCCCGGCCAACCTACAATCTAAACTAGATGCCCTCAATCTCACACAAATTATCAACGAACCTACCAGGTACAACCCTAAATCTGTAAACATGGGCACCCTCATAGATATCATCCTGACAAATGTACCCTCTAAATACACCTCCGCTGTCTTCAACAAGGATCTCAGCGATCACTGCCTTATTGCCTGCGTCCGTAATGGGTCCGTGGTCAAACGACCACCCCTCATCACTGTCAAATGCTCCCTAAAACATTCATTCCGTCAGTAGAGGATGCCTGGTTGTTCTATAAAAGTGCTTTCCTCTCAATCTTAAATAAGCATGCCCCATTCAAAAAATGCAGAACTAAGAACAGATATAGCCCCTGGTTCTCCTCAGACTTGACTGCCCTTGACCAGCACAAAAACATCCTGTGGCGTACTGCATTAGCATCGAACAGCCCCCGCGATATGCAACTTTTCAGGGAAGTCAGGAACCAATATACACAATCAGTTAGGAAAGAAAAGGCTAGCTTTTTCAAACAGATATTTGCATCCTGTAGCACTAACTCCAAAAAGTTTTGGGACACTGTAAAGTCAATGGAAAATAAGAGCACCTCCTCCCAACTGCCCACTGCACTGAGGCTAGGAAACACTGTCACCACCGATAAATCTACAATAATCGAGAATTTCAACAAGCATTTTGCTACGGCTGGCCATGCTTTCCACCTGGCTACCACTACCCCGGCCACCAGCTCTGCACCCTCCGCTGCAACTTGCCCATGCCCCCCACGCTTCTCCTTCACACAAATTCAGACAGCTGATGTTCTGAAAGAGCTGAAAAATCTGGACCCCTACAAATCAGCTGGGCTAGACAATCTGGACCCTTTCTTTCTAAAATGAGCTGCCGAAATTGTCGCAACCCTTATTTCTAGCCTGTTCAACCTCTCTTTCGTAACGTCTGAGATCCCCAGAGATTGGAAAGCTGCCGCGGTCATCCCCCTCTTCAAAGGGGGTGACACTCTAGATCCAAACTGTTAAAGACCTATATCCATCCTGCCCTGCCTTTCGAAAGTATTTGAAAGCCAAGTTAACAAACAGATCACCAACCATTTCGAATCCCACCGTACCTTCTCCGCTATGCAATCCGGCTTCCGAGCTGGTCATGGGTGCACCTCAGCCACGCTCAAGGTCCTAAACGATATTATAACCGCGATCGATAAAAGACAGTACTGCGCAGCAGTCTTCACTGACCTGGCCAAGACTTTCGACTCTGTCAACCACTGCATTCTTATTGGCAGACTAAATAGCCTTGGTTTCTCTAATGACTGCCTCGCCTGGTTCACCAACTACTTCTCAGATAGAGTTCAATGTGTCAAATCGGAGGGCCTGTTGTTTGGACCTCTGGCCGTCTCTATGGGGGTGCCACAGGGTTCAATTCTCGGGCCGACTCTATTCTCTGTGTATATCAATGATGTTGTTCTTGCTGCTGGTGAAGCTCGGATCCACCTCTATGCGGACGACACCATTTTGTATACATCTGGCCCTTCATTGGACACTGTGTTAACAAACCTCCAAAGGAGCTTCAACGCCATACAACACTCCTTCCGTAGCCTCCAACTGCTCTTAAACACTAGTAAAACTAAATGTATTCTCTTCAACCGAACGCTGCTTGCACCCACCCACCCGACTAGAATCACTACTCTCGGCGGGTCTGACCTAGAGTATGTGGACAACTACAAATACCTAGGTGTCTGGTTAGACTGTAAACTCTCCTTCCGGACTCACATTAAGCATCTCCAATCAAAAGTTAGATCTAGAATCGGCTTCCTATTTCGCAACAAAGCCTCCTTCACTCATGCTGCCAAACATGCCCTCGTAAAACTGACTATCCTACCGATCCTTGACTTCGGCGATGTCATTTACAAAATAGCCTCAAACACTCTACTCAGCAAACTGGATGTAGTCTATCACAGTGCCATCCGTTTTGTCACCAAAGCCCCATATACTACCCACCATTGTGACCTGTATGCTCTTGTTGGCTGGCCCTCACTACATATTTGTCGCCAAACCCACTGGCTCCAGGTCATCTATAAATCACTGCTAGGCAAATCCCTGTCTTACCTTAGCTCACTGGTCACCATAGCAACACCCACCCGTAGTCTGCGCTCCAGCAGGTATATCTCACTGGTCATCCCCAAAGCCAACACCTCCTTTGGCCGCCATTCCTTCCAGTTCTCTGCTGCCAATGACTGGAACAAACTGCAGAAATCTCTGAATCTGGAGAGACTTATCTCCCTCACTAACTTTAAGCGTCAGTTGTCAGAGCAGCTTACCGATCACTGCACCTGTACACAGCCATTCTGAAATTAGCCCACCCAACTACCTCATCCCCATATTGTTATTTATTTTGCTAATTTGCACCCCAGTATCTCTATTTGCACATCATCTTTTGCACATCTATCATTCCAGTGTTAATACGAAATTGTAACTATTTTGCACTATGGCCTATTTATTGCCTTACCTCCATAACTTACTACATTCGCACACACTGTATATATATTTTCTGTTTGTATTTTTGACTTTTGGTTTTGTTTTGTTTACCCCATATGTAACTCTGTGTTGTTGTTTTTATCGCACTGCTTTGCTTTATCTTGGCCAGGTCGCAGTTGTAAATTAGAACTTGTTCTCAACTGGCTTACCTGGTTAAATAAAGGTTAAATAAAAAAAGGCAAGTTTCTCGACATTTACACTGACTTTGAGAAGGGATTGCGTGACGATTAGTTTATCAATCGCGTGACGCAGCATGACAACGTGAACACGATTGGTCGACAGTCTGCTGGGTGGGGCGTTAAACATTCCTTCATTCACTGCATTCCTATCTCCTTTCTATAATATCTCTGGCAACTGCACCATGCAATGCACCCTGGACTAAAGAGGCAGACAAACAGGGAAAATGTGCTAGACCCTCCGTTAAATTACAAATTTCTCGAGGTAGGAATATCGCAAAAATATGATCAATGGCTCATTCGAGAGAAGACATCCTCCCGAGTTAAGCCATCGGCCAGTATTGAAATCTGACATGTATGATAGACGTTTTCGATGATAGACATTTAAAATGGGTGAACCTTTCCTTTAAGATATGTGTACCAGGCACGGTCAAAGACCAGTGACTGAGACAGACAGGTGTTACGACCAAAAAAGCACCCTATTCCCTATATAGTGCACTACTTTTGAACAGAACCCAGTGGGTCCTGGTCAAAAGTAGTGCACTAACACAGGGAATAGGGTGTCATTTGGGGACACACACGGACTGATTGCAAAACATAAAAAGGAATGTACATCCTGTTCACAACTTGGGACAGAACTTTTACTGTTTGTATGTTGTTGGTTTTTTACCTCAGGTCAATATGAGAACTCTCCAGTCCCTAGCTGAAACAGCAGGAGAGAAGTGTGGTGAGGGCAGACATGAGAAGGTGTGAGACGACCATTAAAATCCTCACAGACCTTTATTCTTCCGTTTTTTGTGTTGTTTTATTGGACAGTGAAGAGGAGCCAGGAAAGGTAGGACAGAGTGCGAATCAGAAAGGCAGCGGTTTGGATTCAAACCCACACCAATGGCGACTCTCGTATACATGTGTGCCGGTGTCCACAACACTACCTGCTGGACCACACAGGCCTCACATGCAAACAAACACCTAGCCTCCATGACCAAATCCTCTTTGTTGTTAAAACTAAAGCACAGCAGAACCACAGCGCCAGCCACCGGCCGCAGCTAAGGGAGTAATGCAATTGCCATTTACCGGCTGCTTTAAAATAGGCAGGTTAACAAGGGTAATCAGACAGCTACTTTAATTGGTTTAGCTCGCATGAGCACGGCTAACCTTAAAACAACTCTGGAGTGGGATCTATGACGACAGTCTGACCCCTGCTGTGATCACAGGGCTGCGCTGGGGCATCATGGGATTGTGAGAAGTTAGTGCAGGTCAGGCAGAGCCTCTATTCTATTAAACACGAAAACTATATGTTTTGTGTGAGAAGTAGGCAGGCCTGTAGCCGAAAAATAAAGAAAATTCACAATGCCTACTTCACCCATGCTCTACCAAGGTTATACAACACACAGCTTTGACTTACTACAGTAACTATGTTGGTCTATCGTACTTCAAACAAGGTGTAGGCAGGTTGTTTAGGATTCAAACCTTCTCAAAAAGCCTTAATTCATACTCTTAGAGAAGGTACTCCCACAATAATGTGATTAGCAATTTGTGAGTTGCAATGACATCATTATGACGTCTTTTAGGACTTCATAGTCAGGTTGATTGTATGAGAAGACGTGTTTATTTGATTGTAATCTGGTTATATGACCTCTTCTCAACCAGAAGTTAGTGCAGGTCAGGTACAGTGCCTTGCAAAAGTATTCAGAGCCCTGGATTTCTTCACATTGTATTGTGTTATAAAGTGGGATTCAAATGATTGAATTGTAATTTTTTGTCAACAATCTACACAAAATACTCTAATGTCAAAGTGGAAGAAAATGTTTAACTTTTTTAAAAGATTGATACAAATTAAATAACTAAAATATAGTCATTGCGTAGGTATTCAGTTCCCTGAGTCAATACATGTTAGAAACACCTTTGGCATCGATTACAGCTGTTAGTCTTCTTGGGTGAGTCTATAGAAGCTTTGCACACCTGGATTGTGCAGTATTTACCCATTATTCTTTTAAAAATTCTTCAAACTCTGTTAAGCTGTTAGGGATCATGTCTAGACAGCAAATTTTCAAGTCTTGCCACATATTTTAAAGCAGATTTAAGTCCAAACTAACAGAACTAACTTCTTGGTAAGCAACTCCAGTGTATAGTTGGATTTTGTCCCACTCCTCTTTGCAGATCTTCTCCAAGTCATTAAGGTTTCGAGGCTGACGTTTGGCAACTCAAACCTTCAGCTCCCTCCACAGATTTTCTATGGGATTAAGGTCTGGAGACTGGCTAGGCCACTCCAGGACCTTAATGTGCTTCTTCTTGAGCCACTCCTTTGTTGAATTGGCCATGTGTTTTGGGTCATTGTCATGCTGGAATACCCATCCACGACCCATTTTCAATGCCCTGGCTGAGGGAAGGAGGTTCTCACCCAAGATTTGACGGTACATGGCCCCGTCCATCATCCCTTTGATGCGGTGAAGTTGTCCTGTCCCCTTAGCAGAAAAACACCCCCAAAGCATAATGTTTCCACCTCCATGTTTGACGGTGGGGATGGTGTTCTTGGGGTCATAGGCAGCATTCCTCCTCCTACCAAACACGGCGAGTTGAGTTGATGCCAAAGAGCTCGATTTTGGTCTCATCTGACCACAACACTTTCACCCAGTTCTCCTCTGAATCATTCAGATGTTCATTGGCAAACTTCAGACGGGCATGTATATGTGCTTCTTGAGCAGGGGGACCTTGCAGGCGCTGCAGGATTTCAGTCCTTCACGGCGTAGTGTGTTACCAATTGTTTTCTTGGTGACTATGGTCCCAGCTGCCTTGAGATCATTGACAAGATCCTCCTGTGTAGTTCTGTGCTGATTCCTCACCGTTCTCATGATCATTGCAACTCCACGAGGTGAGATCTTGCATGGAGCCCCAGGCCGAGGGAGATTGACAGTTATTTTGCGAATAATCACACCAACTGTTGTCACCTTCTCACCAAGCTGCTTGGCGATGGTCTTGTAGCCCATTCCAGCCTTGTGTAGGTCTACAATCTTGTCCCTGACATCCTTGGAGAGCTCTTTGGTCTTGGCCATGGTGGAGAGTTTGGAATCTGATTGATTGATTGCTTCTGTGGACAGGTGTATTTTATACAGGTAACAAACTGAGATTAGGAGCACTCCCTTTAAGAGTGTGCTCCTAATCTCAGCACGTTACCTGTATAAAAGACACCTGGGAGCCAGAAATCTTTCTTATTGAGAGGGGGTCAAATACTAATTAAAATTAAAATGCAAATCAATTTATAACATTTTTGACATGTGTTTTTCTGGATTTTTTGGTTGTTATTCTGTCTCTCACTGTTCAAATAAACCTACCATTACAATTATAGACTGATCATTTCTTTGTCAGTGAGCAAACTTACAAAATCAGCAGGGGATCAAATACTTTTTTCCCTCACTGTACTTTTGCAAGGCTCTGTAAATTAGAACTCTATATGGTGTCTACTGGCCTATAACTGGTTGGAGTGACGTTGTCATGACGCCATTGGCAGGTTGTATGGGGAAGACGTCTTTACCTGATTGTAATGTGCCAAATTATGCCTGCTGGGTATGGTTTTTAGTATTCCTTGTCTGTTTGAATTCAAAAGGTGCGAAAGGAAGTGCGTAAATATCCCACTGTTTAAGTGTTATGTTACCATAATTGATCTACTTGAGTGTGAAGCTGCATCCCCAGGCCCAGGTTTGTATGTCAGTGTTGCATTGTTACCATAAGTAGTCTTGTCTGAGCCAGAACATCCCTGTACCCTGAGGCAGCTAGTCTATCGTTACCATATATATACATACACTGAGTGTACAAAACATTAAGAGCACATGCTCTTTTCATGACATAGACTGACCAAGTGAATGCTATGATCCCTTAGATGTCACTTGTTAAATCCACTTCAATCAGTGTAGATGAAAGGGAGGAGACAGGTTAAAGAAGGATTTTTAAGCCTTAAGACAAATGAGAAATGGATCGTGTATGTGTGCCATTCAGAGGGTGAATGGGCAAGTCAAAAGATTTAAAGTATCTTTGAACGAGGTATGGTAGTAGGTGCCAGGCGCACCGGCTTGAGTGTGTCAAGAACTGCAACGCTGCTGGGTTTTTCACGTTCAACAGTTTCCCATCTGTATCAAGAATGGTCCACCACCTAAAGGTCATCCAGCCAACTTGACACAACTGTAGGAAGCATTGGAGTCAACATGGGCCAGCATCCCTGTGGAATGCTTTCAACACCTTGTAGAGTCCATGCCCCGACGAATTGAAGATGTTCTGAGGGCAAAAGGGGGTGCAACTCAATATTAGGAAGGTTTTTTCACATTTTGTTACGTTCCAGCCTATTTCTAAAATGGATTTTTTTTTTTTTATCTCATCAAATCACACACAATACCCCATAATGACGAAGTGAAAACAGGTATTTAGAATATTTTTCAAATGTATTAAAAATAAAAAACAGAAATACCTTATTTACATAAGTATTCAGACCCTTTGCTATGAGACTCGAAATTAAGCTCAGGTGCATCCTGTTTCCATTGATATTTTTGAAATGTTTCTACAACTTGATTGGAGTCCAACTGTGGTAAATTAATTTGATTGGACATTATTTGGAAAGGCACACACCTGTCTGTATAAGGTCCCACAGTTGACAGAGCATGTCATAGCAAAAACCAAGCCATGAGGTCGAAGGAATTGTCCGTAGAGCTCCGAGAAAGGATTGTGTCGAGGCACAGATCTGGGGAAGTGTACTTTCTGCAGCATTGAAGGTCCCCAAAAACACAGTGGTCTCTATCATTCTTAAATGAAAGAAGTTTGGAACCACCAAGACTCTTCCTAGAGCTGGCCACACTGGACAAATTTAGCAATCGGGGGAGAAGGGCCTTGGTCAGGGAGGTGACCAAGAACCTGATGGTCACTCTGACAGAGCTCCAGAGTTCCTCTGTGGAGATGGGAGAACCTTCCAGAAGGACAACCATCTCTGCAGCACTCCACCAATCAGGCCTTTATGGTAGAGTGGCCAATCCTCAGTAAAAGGCACATGACAGCCAGCTTGGAGTTTGCCAAAAGGCACCTAAAGGACTCTCAGACCATGAGAAACAAGATTATCTGGTCTGATGAAAGATTGAACCCTTTGGCCTGAATGCCAAGCATCACGTCTGGAGAAAACCTGGCACCATCCCTACGGTGAAGAATGGTGGTGGCAGCATCATGCTGTGGGGATGTTTTTCAGAGGCAGGGATTGGGAGACTAGTCAGGATCGAGGGAAAGATGAACGGAGCAAAGTACAGAGAGATCCTTGATGAAAACCTGCTCCAGAGCGCTCAGGACCTCAGACTGGGGCGAAGGTTCACCTACCAACAGGACAACGACCCTAAGAACACAGCCAAGACAACGCAGGAGTGGCTTCAGGACAAGTCTATGAATGTCCTTGAGTCCAGAGCCCGGACTTGAACCCGATCAAACATCTCTGGAGAGACCTGAAAATAGCTATGCAGCGACACTCCCATCCAACCTGACAGAGCTTGAGAGAATCTGCAGAGAAGAATGGGAGAAACTCCCCAAATACAGTTGTGCCAAGCTTGTAGAGTTAGACTCGAGGCTGTAATCGTTGCCAAAGGTTCTTCAACAAAGTACTGAGTAAAGGGTCTGAACATTTATGTAAATGTGATATACGTTTTTTTTTTTTTTATCATTTTCAAAAATGTCTAAAAACCATTTTTTTCTTTGTCATTATGGGGTATTGTGTGTAGATTGATGAGGGGGGGGGAAAAAACAATGTAATCTATTTTAGAATAAGGCTGTAACGTAACAAAATGTGGAAAAAATCAAGGGGTCTGAATACATTCCGAATGCACTGTATGTGATCGTATACAAATAATAATAATAAATAATAATTGATTGGATTTATATAGTGCTTTTTTACTAACTGAGGTACTCAACGTGCTTTACATACGTGCTCACCTCATCCACCATCAATGTGTAGCACCCACCTCAGTGATGCACAGCGACCATTTTTGTGCCAGAACACTCACCACACATCAGCTATCAGGTGGAGAGGTGAGGAGTGATATATGCCAATTAGGAATGAGGGGAATGATTAGGTGGCCATGATGGAATGTGGCCAGGTTGGGAATTTAGCCATGACACCGGGGTGAACACCCCCACTCCTACAATAAGTGCCATGATTTCGAATGACTAGAGAGTCAGGACATGCAGGACAATGTTCCCAAATGTAATCAAGGTTTGAAATGATTATGTTTTAGTCAAATATTATATATCTGTTTAGGCTTCTTGCGGTCAATTAGCAGTTTACTTTTTTTTGTTATTATGTTCCAGTCCCCCCGAACATCCGCTCAAGAACAAATTGGCCCGCGGCTGAATCTAGTTGATGATCTCTGATCTATAGCATTTTTATGCATCATTGGTTGTTTCCTCCTGTTTAGAGCGTGTAGCATGTGTGCGTGAGTGTGTATCTGTTCGCGTGCGTGCGGATTCGTCCATGTGCTTTTGCATGTGTGCGTTCGGTCTACCTCTTGTGTGGTGCGAGCAGCTGGTTTGTCCTGGTGGTTGGCTAGTATGAGGAAGGGCAGGGTACAGAGCTGGGGGTGCTGCAGGGCAGAGTGAAGCTCAGTTCGGGCCATCTCCAGGTCCTCGTCTGTGGAGGCGCTGTCCAGGACAAACACCACCCCCTGGGAACCCTGGTAGTAACGCGACCAGTACTTCTTTATCGAGTCCGCTCCTAGAGACAGACAGGCAGTCAGACACAGACATGCACATATATAGACACACAGCAATGCAGGCATACGCACACACAGTTAGTACCAGTGCACCAGAGGAGGCTCCTCAGAGGAGGAAGGGGAGGACCATCCTCCTCAGTGAAATTTCATAAAAAATAAAAATTGTGAAACATTAAAAAAGTTATCCTTTTTAGATCAAACTATACTAAATATATTAATATGTCACCAAATAATGTATTAAAATACACTGTGTTGCAATGAAGGTCTACAATAACTTCAACAGGACTGTCTGGGGTAGCACCATGGTGTAGCCGGAGGACAGCTAGCTTCCGTCCTCCTCTGGCTACATTGAATTCAATACAAAACCTAGGAGGCTTGTAGGCCTCACCCCCTTCCATAGACATACATGGTAATTATGACCACTTCTGGAGGACGTCCTCCAACCAATCAAAGCTTTTGCAGTATGAACTGAAGTGTTGTCCATCCAATCATAGAATTAGGATCAGAGAATGAACCTAGTGTGTTGTATTGGGATTGTGCCACAGAGCATTAAATGGGGGTTATATGTGTTGAGAAGCTTGGTGACATTGTTGGATAGAGATTAAGAGTGAAGAGTGATAGTTGAGCATTTTTTTGTTGATATTATTCAATTCAAATTAGTTTTTTCAAATTACAAGAGACAGAGAAGGTATATTATAAATTGTTTTCTTGGTTTTGTAACTTTATTTTTGGGTCCAGTTAGCAAGGCACATTTAAATAAATTGCACTAACTTCAGTAGCTAGCTAGCTATCAGCTCGAGTCTGCAGTTTTCCCCGCCAGAATGGCCAACGCTGCCGAAAATGTTGTGGACTTTTTGTTGAAGAACCCCTTTCATTCTCTGGGGTAAACGGAAAAGGTGCTAATTAAAAGTGAGGGTCGACTTCTGCCTGAGATCAGTTTCATGAAGAAGGATGAGAAGGTGAGGGCGTTCAATACCAACTGGTATCAAAAGTATAGCTGGTTAAGAGGGAGTCTTTCATCAAGCCGCCTGTATTGCTGACATTCCCTGCTTTTGGAAAGTCTGAGCCTTGGTCAGAAGGTGGGTACAGTGACCTGAAGAACTTCAATCATTCAGCTAAACGACAAAACAAAAGCAGGGAGCATATAAATGGCCACATCAGAGTCAAGCTTCTGGGGAAAAAATGCATAGATTATGACGAAGGTCTGGGTATTCAAACTGCGCAACAAACGAGAAAGTAAGAAGAAACAGGGATGTTCTCAAGCGGCTTATCAACACCACTGCGTTTTTGGGCATGCAAGAATTTGCTTTTAGAGGACACGATGAGAGGGAAAGTTCCGCCAACAAGGGTAGCTACGGGGAGCTTGCAGAGGTAATTGCACGTTACAATGCTTTCCTTGCTGAACATATCGAACTTTCGACTATCTATTCTGGGATGTCGAAAACAATTCAGAATGATTTGATAGCTTCCATCGCATCATCCATTAAAAGTTAGATTAAAGAGAGAGGTTGACGCATCACATTTTTTCCATGCGCTCAAGTAGGCTTTCCACTTTCCTCCGGTATTTATTTAGCAAAGATGATAACACATAATCACTTCTGACAGACACAAGCAAAAACTCATGACATAAATGAGCACATGGATGAAAACTAGACAATTTTTCAGTCTGATCAACTGTAGGCTACTAATAAGAGCAGCTGCATACAGCCTATGCGCCCAGTCCATCTGGTCCATGGTAAACTAATTGGCAACGTTATGTATTTATAGTCCATTTGTGTGTCAGGAGAAAATGTGAATGTGATCAAATTTAGTTTATATTCAAAATTGGGCTGGCTAGGCTTCCCAATTAACTGGAATTGATCAATTAACATAATAGTGATGAAAGATGTGAGTACATTTTTTATAAGGCCTACAGTTGCATAGGCCTGCGTGATGCAAACATGCATAAAGCAAGCTCAGCCCTGTGAGTTCTATTGTCTATCAGTTGTTGTCTATGTGTCTGGGTAGAGGAAATCCCTCTCCTAATCTAGTCTAAATGTAATTTATAAGAACAAATAAGGTAGTTGCAGTTTGACAGGGTTTTCATTCCTCCCGGGACAGGAGGTTTTTTCAGGAGTTTTTTTAAAACCATGTGACCTGATTAGGAAAAACTGGTCCTATCATAGCCCATATAAAACCTTTTTACAACTGATTAATCACGGTCATACCTTATAGGGTCCAGAGTTTTCCTAGTTATGTTAACGTTTAAGTAAAAACTCCAGGCCCAAGGGGGTAAAAATTGCCCGACCGCTCTGGGACCTATCTGCTGTAATGGAATGTATCTGCTATTTTTATTTACAGCTAAGTCCCCTCCTGTTCCCTGACTGGCACAACTGCAGCAGTCTTATCAAAAGCATGATTATAAATGGTAACACTGTCATAAACAATTAAAATATTATATTTTTGTGCCTGTCACGTTTTTCTGCAACGAAACTGGCTTTCAACCTCAACTTCAAGAGGCTCATTCTACCTAATTCAATTGTACGTTGATAATCCAGCAAATAAAATGGATACCTATGAGTAATGGAGACCTCCAGCAAGAAAGGGAAAAATGCATTGAATTTCAACATCTTTTCAATTGGAGCACGTCTGGAGTGCATTTTGCAAATGCTTCTACCCTCGTTTCATAAAATCTTTGCGGATATTGCATTATGTATTTTTCAGACTTCAGGACTGCATGCCAACTTTTAGCCTTCTGCACTGCACTGGGGGACCGGTGGGAAAACGACATGTCTGTCTAAATGAAGTGTTTTCAACACACACAAAATCAGCGGCCCAAATGACACCCTATTCCCTTTATAGTGCACTACTTTTGACCAGTGCCCAATAGGGGTCTGGTCAAAAGTAGTGCACTATAAATGGAATAGTGTGCCATTTGGGGCGTACACCAAGATTCTCTTTAAAGCAGAACTAACTCAGAGAGCACATTAAAGCAGTTTCCTATGCTGGCCACTCTACAGCACAGTTCAAATGAACCTTCTTCTTTTACAGTGAACATATGGTTCCTTTTCTGCACAGCAATTTGGGGGTACAAAAATGTGGCCACCAAGGCTCACAAGGCAGGGCATGGCTTTGGTTAGCGTGAGTGACAGAGTGGTGGAATAGAACCAGAAACTCATAGGAATAAGGTCAATTGTGTCAGTTCAATTACTCTCCCTGAGTGTGGCTGGAAAAACACCCACTTCTTTTTCTGAAATCTAAAGAGGAGGAAGCCATGGTTTAAATCTTCCATCTCTGGGGCTATAGTAAAAGTGGACCTGACTGTAATTTGACCACACCCACCTTCATCGCTAGTAAAAAGGATCCTCATCTCGATGGTAGTCATTAGGGCATCAAATGGAGGAAACATTTCTGAAACAGGGAGGGACTACCTGGGCTTGTTTTCCATTGCAAACCACATTAAAACATTTCGGTACAAAGAGTCCTAATGAACACAACCCAGGCTAGTTTATGGTGAGACTCCGCCCCTCGTTACAAGTGTTTACAGGCGATTAGCCTTCTATGACCCTTTGAGAATCCATGAAAAACTCCACCCCCCAAAACTAGACCAATTTGCCTGCTCTGAAATGGAGTAATATTGCGTGGCAGTAGTATTATGAGCTGAAACAGTTTACAGATTAACTATTACGTTTCAAAACACCTCAAATAATTGTGTGAGGGGGATGCGGGTTAGAGGGGAGGAAGGAAGTAAAGTCTCAACCAGGCCATATTATCAAGACTAATGTATTGCTCAAGAACAGATGCTGAAAAATCTGCCAAGCATAAGAGCTAGGCTATTCATCACTATTGTGGCCTGGCCTGTTCAATTCTGCCTCCTCCTGGCTTCCTGGCTCTAGCTACAAAAACCAAAAGAGACTTCAGTGGTGCACCGAAACATAGAGGCTTTAGAGGGATTTACAACATGAATCTAAGGATGAATATTGAAACCAATGTTCAAATGCCATCTGAGTGATGTTTTATAGACTATTATAGCAACAAGTTTCCCATTAATTCCTGTAACAATGTAGGCTATTGGCTATTGTGTTTTTCTCACTCTCTCTCTCTATCTATATATATATATATACGTATGTATGTAGCTTTAGAGTAACAAAAACATGACCACAAGCCAGTTTACCAGAAAACATATTGCATTACAATCACGTGTGACAGTAACAGAAACCACACTTTCCACAAATGGCATTACATCATGCTTGGTTTCTCAAGAAAATAAAGAGATAAGTGTTTTCAGATGCCTGGGCTACACACTAACTGACTGACTGCTACACACTGGTCTACTCTACACTGGAGCATCTGGGCATTCAGAGCGTCTTCCTGGTGCGATCTGCCAACCGACTGGGCAGAAAGACAGGCTCAATCTCAATTCATCTTTTCACGATTCCTCACATCCTATTTCCTCACCTTGTTCTCAACCTTATTGGAGAAGGTCCAACCCACTGGGCACAGACGTCAATTCAATGTCTATTCCACGTTGGTTCAACGTAATTTCATTGAAATTATGTGGAAACAATGTTGATTCAACCAGTGTGTGCCCAGTAGGAAGTTTCCCCCCTCTTGTCCCTTCTTCTCCAATGCATCTTGGGGAAAGAGGTGAGGAGAGATGATGCAAGGATTCGAGGAAAGATTAATTGAGAAAGAGCTAGAAAAAACAAGTTTCCATTCAGCCATTACATGCAGATGAATTACCTGACGCATATAAAAAGTTCACGACATGCCTTATGGAAACAGCAAATTTGTCAACCAAATACGCTAGACAAGGTGGCCCAAAATAGATTGTGACATAAATAAACAAATGTATTTCTGCGTAAATCTTGACATAATAGCATCATGTCAAAGTAAACGTGGAGTCTCGTGATGATATGTTACATTTAGGAGTGCCACCGGATTATCGCATCTCCGATTTCATGATGGGCATATAACCTACATGGAGGGGTTTTTACGCACATCCAAAATAATAATAGGAGCTGGTTAAAATAATGTACAATAGCCTACATAGATAAAAAGTGGATGTCCACTCACTGTTTTGTTGCTCCCAAATTAGATTTTTCCAATATCCTTTTGGTGATTAAGATTTATTTCAAAGCGGTCTAACGAGCATAACCCTTTATTGATAGTCCTGACTACATGGCGAATGCATTGGGCAGGACAAATAAAAATGCCTTCATTGAGAGGAGTGGAGGCTATGCTTGGATTTTAATCAAATTAAACGAAAATGGGAAAAATTTGTTTTTTATGTTTCTAAATACGAGGTTTACTGGCACAAAAAACACATCTCTCTTGTTCAATATGGGCATTGTGCATCACGGCTGGATATGCTGTGCTACCATCGGTAAAATCCATGCCATAACCAACTGCGTTACCGCTAAGGCCAGCTTTCGGTTGGTCTTAAATATCCCCACCAGCCCATACTGAAATTGGCACTTTGGCGCACGTTTTAAAGAACACGCCTCAGATATTGACACCCCTCCCAACTAAGCGCAAGCGAGCTCATATAAGACAGGTAAATTACAAATCCTGGTGCTGGGTAAAAAATAATAATATATAAATAAATAAGAGTGCTGGCTTTAACAGGTCGAAATTGCAATAGAGCCCAGAAACTTTAAGTGTAAAAATGCTTTTATGTGCACTATATCATTATGCACAGATTTTTAAGTCAGTTTGATGGAAACATACCTCTGGTGGGAAAATGCGCATATATTTTCTATGCAGATTTTAGAATAGACGCATGCAAATCTGTTGCCAATTGGATGGAAACCTAACTACAGACGGACAGAGGGATTACACACACACAGTATGGTGTCATCATCCCATTGATGGGAAACTGGCTTTGAACTCCCATCTCATCTCTCATAAAGACTCACACACACAGACCAAAAACATCACAGAGACAAAACAAAAACATCCCAGCCAGGGGGCAGACGAACCAACAACACTAAAACCCATAGCAGACAGACAAGACTACTGTCATTGAGATAAAGAGAGACCCAAACAGAAACATTACCAGTACTGTTTGACCTGTTGACCTGCAAACACCCCACAGATAACCTTCAAACATCACAGTACTGTCTCCCGAACTACCAGAGACACCCAATGATTCATTCATTAGTGAGTGAACTAAATGACAAAACAGACTGCACCGACGAATGGTTAAAAGCAGCGGGTGCCGGGTGGCCATTCTATCTACCACATCATCGGCCATTATTTTCTGTTAATTTCCCCACAATTCTACATGTTGAATTACCACCATTCGTCGACACCCAACAGGTGATCTATTGCGCACAGCCAGCGTTCGTTATGGTGTGTACTTAACATTTCTTTGAAACATTGGTTTGGTCCCTAAAGAATAGCTAAATAATACATTAAACTGATTACAGAGTGTGCGACGGTCATTGTTTTCCCCAAGTTTATGGACTGTTACTCTGCACCTTGTCAACATTTTGGGGTGTGTGTCTCCAGCTCCTAACTGTAGGATGAGGCTGAATGTTCCCAGCCTCAGGTTGCATCCCAAATGGCACCCTATCTCCTATATGATCCACCACCTTTGGTCAGAGCCCTATGGGTCCTGGTCAAAAGTAGTGCACTAAATATGGAATAGGGTGCCATTTGGGACACGGCATCAGAGAACAGCAGCTAGGGGATCCCTGTCTGGAAATAAGGGAGAGTCCCTGTCCACACCAATGATGTCATACGGACCACTCCACACACACACACCCACACTGCAGAAAGGACTTACGCATTACTGCCTCTCTGACACACACAGTTGCACGCCCAGCGGGCGAGTGACATTTGAGAGAATGTGTTAGCTACTTCATTTGCGTGTTGTCTGTCCGACACGTTGCTTTCTGCTGCAAAGATCATCAGTGGAGAGATAACTATGACTCATCTTCACATAGAGGATGTGTCATTCAAGGTCTCAATAACATGTACTATCTTAGGGGACTCTAACATTTAGCTAGCAAAGGAAAAGTTCCTTAACATTTTTTTAGGACCTTTAGGGGTTCTTATATGGTTATATTTTTCAGATATTGTTGGACTGTGCATAGCTAGGGTCATGTTCAGTTGGCACGGAATGGGAGTAAACTTTTTGTGAAATGGAGGAAGTCCCATTGACACTTGTCCAATAAGAAGACCCAATACGTTTCAAAAAAAATTCGCCCACTGAACTAGGAAACTTGAGTACTTTGACAACGTGAACATTGTGTTCACATCATAATGGAAAATAGGTGAAAAAATACCTCCGAGCTCCTTCACGTTCAGGATGGCATTCTGGAATGGAACAGCTTTGATGCTAAAACCTAGAAAGGAGAATGAAATGTAAAGCCTCACACATGAAGACATGGCAGACATTGCTTAAAAAGAGGCAAGAGAAAGTACATCTATTCAGCACATGTAAAGCACCTGTATAAGTGTTGGAAAATACTCATATCATGCTCTTTTCTGCAGGTAGGGAATATGCCTGAAAGCTCACCACTTAACTACTGAAGCTAAATTGTTTCAATGCATGGTATACTTGACTGCTGTACTTCAAAAAACTTCACGCAGTGTAAGGAGAACTCTGTAAGGAGAATTTGGACTGTGATTTCATCAGGTGTCGAACCTCACCCGTGGTTGGCCCAATGTTGTCTGTGGCTTCACTGCAGAGTCTTGACAGTAGACTGGTCTTCCCAGAGCCTGTGAGTCCAATACACACCAGGTCATACTCAGGTCTGGGAGGAGGCGGTCCTTTACAGCACAGTGTCCTGAAACACTGGAGGTAGAAGGGAGAGAGGGAGAGAAAGAGAGAAAGAGAGAGTGGGATAGAGAGAAAAGAGGTGATGGAGAGCGGGGGAGAAGAGGGAAGGAGAGAAGGGCCAGAGAGTCAGAGATCAGTCATGAGAGGTGTGATGGGCAGAGCTAGTGCACAGGGAGTCCGTGTTTTGGCATTTGGATGCTGCACCCACGTCACCCACTGATCTACTCTGTGACACTACTGACGTCTGTTCTGTCACTGAGCACGCCACTCTGGAGACGCCGGGCAGGATCACATCTGTTAACGCCATCTGTTTCCAGCCAAAGATACTGTAAGATCTGGAGAGAAAAAACATTGTGTCCTCTCTCTCTCCTCTCCGTTTGTATTTCAATTCAGTTGTGCCCAGCCACACTACACGTCCTTTGAACTCACATAGCCAGTGTGATAAAATAACCTTTGAGTCGTATATAGCATATAGAATGCACACTACAGGCACCCTGTGCGTAGTAAGAGTGGATGCATTGATGTACCATAGTATAGGGGCACAGGATGTTGTTAGTGAAGTAAACCTCAAGATGTGGTATGCAACATGGTCAAGGGATTGAGGGACTGCTACTCCGTCAACATGGAAGATCAAAGAAAAAGGGGGCCTCCGATTGAAATAGAAACCAGGGTCACGGTCTCACACACGCACACTCACACATACACATACACACACAGGGACAGTAAGGGCCCGATAGAGGTTATGTCATTTTTCTTTCTACACAACAAGCAAATCGGCCTCCGGACTCCGGTCTGTTCAGTAGAAACAGATCCGAAGGTCCCTCACCTTTCTCTGGGTGCTGATAAAGGACATGACATGGGTCAGACTCTGTAGATTCACTGTAGACACTCTGCAGGCTCTGCAGCTCAAACATAGAAACCCAAACCAGAAGCATGCTCTGCTCTATAAAAACAGCAGCCCCACTGACCTCCCTTTGTGCTACGAGATAAGACAAGGCAAACCTTTCATTTTACACAGATGCTGCACCAGATAAACATCTTCATCACTGGTATGTACTACTTACAGACCTGCGTGTCTACCAGACTCTGAAATAGCAACTTATACAAACGTATCGTAACATAACATATACAGGAAAGGATTAAAAGGTAGGTCCGGTTGAGATTTTGAAAGTCTACATCAGTATACCATCCTCAGGGTATGATTGATAACAGCACAGGAACAGTGTAGTCAATGCGCCGTAACTGTTGGCTACCATTACAAAGGAAGAGAGTGCTCTCTGGTGGTGATAATAGGAATTGCGCCAATCTACACAATCTATGGGAGATTCTCGTTTGGGCATAAGACCGTCCTCTGTCTTGTCTCCTCCATCCTCTCTCCTCCATAACCCAGAACCCAATAAGTGGTCGAGGAGTGTGCCAATTCGTTATTAGACAAACGGATGAGTGTCCTCCCCTCCTCGATAGCCACCTTTCATCAAGGATGCTCATGGGTATCCTACCGCAGAAGAGTTTTGAAATGTACCACCCCACCTTTGAATCAGCTTTTGTTTTGTCAGAGGAGAAAAACATGCACACATTTAAAAACAAAGTTACTTATTGTTATCTATAAAATAGTAACTTAATTTGTAATGAGCACTTTACACATTTATTTGGGGATCCACCCCTGTGTGGAGAAGCACCATCTCATTTCAAGCAAGTGCATTTCCATTCCATTTCACTCTCCTCGCCGACTCTCCTCGATTAACTTTGACCTTTTTCAAAAGGAGGCGAGAGAGGACAGAGTGGAGGAGAGAGAGCGTAAGAGGTGAGCAAATCTAATTGATAAAAGTCCAATAGCTCATTCTCTCACATCACTATTATGAGATATGGTTATGGCAGGACCAGTCTTGAACATAATCTCAAATAAAAATCTCTCTAGAAGAGATGGCAGGCTCATGAAGTATGCCTAAATCACATGCTTTTCCAAAGCTGAGAAGATGGTAAACCATATTATTGTTTTCAGAACATATTTTTTTTCTGATCCTCAACTGCCCCAAATAAAATGTCCATCTTGTGAATTACACTGAACAAAAATATAAATGCAACAATTTCAAAGATTTTACTGAGTTACAGTTCATATAAGGACATCAGTCAATTTAAATAAATTCACTAGGCCCTAATCTATATATTTCACATGACTGGGAAATACAGATATGCATCTGTTGGTCATAGAAACCTTTAAAAAAAAAAGTAGGGATGTGGATCAGAAAACCAGTCAGTATCTGGTGCGACCACTATTTGCCTCATGCAGCGCGACACCTCCTTCGCATAGAGTTGATCAGGCTGTTGATTGTGGCCTGTGGAATGTTATCCCACTCCTCTTCAATGGCTGTGCGAAGTTGCTGGATATTGGCGGGAACTGGAACACAGAGTCGTACACGTCGATCCAGGGCCATGCATTATCATGGTGAAACATGAGGTGATGACGGCGGATGAATGGCACGAAAAGGGGCCGGCCTCAGGACCTCGTCACGGTATCACTGTGCATTCAAATTGCCATCGATAAAATGCAATTGTGTTCGTTGTCTGTAGCTTATGCCTGCCCCTACCATAACCCCACCGCCACCATGGGGCACTCTTGCTCACAACGTTGACATCAGCAAACCGCTCGCCCACACAACGCCATACACGCTATCTGACATCTGCCCAGTATAGTTGAAACCGGGATTCATCTGTGAAGAACACACTCCTCCAGCGTGCCAGTGGCCATTGAAGGTGAGCATTTGCCCACTGAAGTCGGTTACGGCGCCAAACTGCAGTCAGGTCAAGACCCTGGTGAGGACGACGAGCACGCAGATGAGCTTCCCTGAGACGGTTTCTGCAGAAATTCTTCAGTTGTGCAAACCCAGAGTTTCATCAGCTGTCTGGGTGGCTGGTCTCAGACCATCCCGCAGGTGAAGAAGCCGGATGTGGAGGTCCTGGGCTGGCGTGGTTACACATGGTCTGCGGTTGTGAAGCCGGTTGGACGTACTGCCAAATTCTCTCAAATGACGGAGGCGGCTTATGGTAGAGACATGAACATTAAATTCTCTGGCAACAGCTCTGGTGGAGATTCCTGCAGTCAGCATGCCAACGGCACGCTCCCTCAAAACTTGAGACATCTGTGGCATTGAGTTGTGTGACAAAACTGCACATTTTAGAGTGGCCTTTTATTGTCCCCACCACAAGGTGCACCTGTGTAAACAGCTTCTTGATATGAAACACATATTAGGTGGATGGGTTATCTTTCAAATAAAAAAAATGCTCACTAACAGGGATGTAAATACATTTGTGCACAACATTTTAGAGAAATAAGCTTTTTGTGTGTATAGAAAATGTCTGGGATGTTTTATGTCAGCACATGAAACATGGGATCAACATTTTACATGTTGCGTTTATATTTTTGTTCAGTGTAGTTTATTATTTCAACTCCAACACCAGGTGGCATGTGGCAGCAAGTTATTCCATTACTGAGGCTACAAGATCAGATGACAAAGCTCTAGCAATCCTTTACCAGACAGGCAAGTCTCAGAACAAACAGACAACTTGACTAGTGTATTTGTAGTTGGGCTCCCATGGAGATAGAGAGAGCGGGTTGGGGGGTTTTAGTAGCATGAACAATAGGTTGAACCAGTTGATCAATAGCCAATGAGTCCTATCTGAGGGAGTCCTTGCAGACCCCTACTGCAGCCTTGCTATAAGAGATGGTCAGGAGCAACAAGAGACACCCACGCTAACACAAACATACACTGAGTGTACAAGACATTCGGAACACCTGCTCTTTCCATGACAGACTGACCAGGTGAATCCAGGTGAAAGCTATGATACCTTATTGATGTCACTTGTTAAATCCATTAAAATCAGTGTAGATGAAGGGGAGGAGACAGGTTAAATAATATTTTTTATGCCTTTAGACAATTGAGACATGGATTGTGTGTGTGCCATTCAGAGGGTGAATGGGAAAGACAAAATATTTAAGTGCCTTTGAATGGTGTATGGTAGTAGGTGCCAGGTGCACAGTTTTGAGTGTGTCAAGAACTGCAACGCTGCTGGGTTTTTCACGCGCAACACGTTCCCGTGTGTATCAAGAATGGTCCACCACCCAAAAGGACACCCAGCCAACTTGGTTACTTAGGTAATGAACCACATGCATTCAATGCACTGTACTACACAACAACAAAGAGTGTATTGTGTAATAATAGATGTTGTGTAGGCTGCGTGCTGTGACCGGAGAGCTTTCGCTGGCCTATTCTTAGCTGGCTCTGAAAATATCCCAGAAAGAAGGAAATTGAGGCGTGAGTTTGCTTCCATGTCATCGGAGCGGATGACACCAGGCTTTGTTAAGGAAGCATTTTTACCTCCTCACTGACAGAAATATGCTGCCTTGAGGACAGACAGGGTCCATGATAGACTCACTTGCCAGACTCATGGCACGCTTTCCCGTGAGTGTCAGAGGCATAATGGCTGTGGGAAGAGCCTGGTCCATGACAGACTTAGTAAAATGTAGGTTGGGGCTGAGCCCTCTGTAAAACTTAACAATCAACATCGAAATAGGCCTAGTTCTTAAAATCTGTTCATGTAGGCTTAGGCTTATACTGTATGTTGCATAGACTGAAGCACAATCAACTGTAGGTAGGGACTGAGCCGAGCTCTCTCTCCAACACTTTACAATCAACACCAAAATAGTTAATCAAATCTGTTCAAACATTGACATTGCGCTTTTAAAGGGAAACTTCACAGCTAGACACTATTTGGGGTGTTTTTCCAGTCTCTCTACATAATTATGAATGATGAGAGGGTGTTTCAGTCATATTATGCACTATAGCTGTATTTTATTATTTTGGCGCTGGGAGAGTTCAACTAGCTTGCCGTTTGATCTAAAAATGAATCGTCATGTTTTGTAGCAATTATTGTGGCCTTTGTGTTACGCTGATTCCACGATCACACCAGTAGATATGGATGTCCTTTTTCAGCCATTAGACTTTTCTTAACGATGTTCCTATCTGCCAGGACATTGCGGGATATCTAGGTTGACTCATTTTCCCTGGCTTTGTAAAGACTACAGCCTGATGGGAGCCATACTTCCTTGTTCCCACCATCGAAGGCAGGCTTTTCAAAACGGGGGTTGAAAGCTAACCATTCCATGCCCTCGATTTGCTGTAATCTTAAGAAATCAGTGCCATGGCAAGACAAACAATGTGATGAATGGACATTGGTCTTCAGTTACTAAATATTGACACCTTGTTAGTTTAGAGGATCAACCTGACTGAATACAAGCGTCTGTGGGTC